TGGGAATGGTTGGAGAGGGGCTGGGAATGGTTGGAGAGGGGCTGGGAATGGTTGGAGGAAGAGAGTGAAATGAACAGAGAGAATAAAGAGCTAAAGATTGTGTCATTAGCAGACGATCTTGTTATATTAAACGGGGAGGAATGGGTTCTGAGTGATACTGGAACCGTGTACCCCTTCACTTGTATTTCACAGCTGAGACAAAAACCTACCATTAATTTTTTTTGTACAGACAGCAGAAAGAGACTGAGGATGAGATTTAAACATTTCATTTCCATTAATTCTGACTGAATGCTTCATTTTAAGGGCAAGGAATTATGGTCTACACTGATTGACTATGGGGCAGTGGGTAATGTTATTTTTTCTCTTTTTAAAAATTACTTGTGTAACTCAATGACAGTTCAGTTGAACATGCTGCTTGTACCTTGTGCAATTCCTCTCAAACCTCATCCTGCTCTCCAAGATGTCCACCACTCCCCCCACCAACCCCTCGATTCTGGCCCACTCCCACAGCCCAACATGTAACCGTTCCGCCATTTGCAATCTCATTTTCAGCAGCGTTGGGCCCAAATCCCTGGAAAGCTTTTTCTCGAGCTCTCCTGAGGTTTATCGGCGGGGTGCCATTTCTGACAGAGACATTCCAGTCCTGCTCGCTTCTTCCCTCATATCCCTGCACGATTGCAAACTGAAAGCTCAAAGTCCTGGAGGGGCCCCATGGGAGAGATATGTAATTCCACAATGGAAGAAGATTTTCATTATCGATGCTACAGCTCTGGGAGGGTTACAAAAGTCTCCAAGTCTGACTAGGAGGCTCTGAATCACAGCGTAAAACTCTCCTGCCCCCGACTACACTGCCAATCACATTATCTATTGGGAGCCCAAAAGGTGCCATGCAATGACATGCCACATTGAAGCTTCACTTGTAAATATCACAGTTTGCATTGGTCTCACTTCATTCATGAGGGTGGTCACAACTACTTGTTTCAGAATAGTTTATAGTCAGAGATCCAATGGCTCACTGTTGGCACACACAGGGGAGTTAAACACATTTCCTTCAAGGCAAACCATTCCAGATACAAGCACACACGAAGCTGGTGAAACTCAGCCAGCAGAGAGAGGAACAGAGGTGACATTTCCAGCCTTCTTCAGAACTCTGTTTCTCTCAAATTTTGTTGGATAACTCTTGGCATCCTTTGCTGCACTTTTATGAATGCAAATTGTCATTGTTTATACTGGGGTGGGGGGCGTCCGATTCAGTAAGATATCTGCGCATAATTTCACTCATGCTCCCCCCCACCCAAACCCAAACCCACATGTTGCAGATTTCTGCACCTAAACTGCCCAGCAGCATTGCAGCAATGGCCCAGGTAAGCTGACATTGTCAGAACCTAAAGTGGCAGGGATGGAGTGAGCAGTTCACGTTGGCTGACACCTTGGATCGGAGGCAACGTGTGAAAATCCCGTCTCACTGCCTCCAACGTGAAAGGCACCGGGAGTGGTTACACGGGTGAGCCCTGACCCAAAGGCAGCCCTGTGATTCACCTCCGCAGTGAGAAACCAGGGTGAAAAGTTTAATGGGAGGGCGCTCACTCCCTCACCTTTCACTCTTAGCTACTGGCTTGTGGTTTTGGGATGTGGTTCATGCAGGCAATACCAGCTTTTGACGCCCAACCTCAGGTAGCATCAGAAGGTGGTCATGGGTCAACTCCCTGACTTGCAAAAGTCCGTGTGGAATTGCCACTTCTACAGCGGCACATGGGTAAGAAACTACAAGGCACTGGGTCAACGCAACAAGGAAGAAATGTCACATTTGTCCAAGTCAAGGCATTTGAGAAACAAGCTATATTTATTTCTGGCCCTGCACAGGTAGTTTCATGTTGATGCAACTGTCTCTATGCACACTAACATCAGCACAAAACGGTTAGCTCAGTTGGCTGGACAGCTGGCTTTCAATGCAAAGTGATGCCAATAGAGTGGGTTCAGTTCCTATGCTGACTGACGTTACCACCTTCTCAACCTCTCCTGAGGTGTGGTGACCCTCAGGTTAAACCACCCCCAATTGTCTCATCTTAATGAGAGAGCAGCCCTATGGTCTGGTAAGATTATGACAACATTATTGATATATCAAACAGGCTCACATTTATATAACGTTTCACAGCACTGCACAACCCAAAGGGCTATCACTGTTACAGTATTGGAATGACCTTAGCACTAGGATCTTATAAGCGATATCATAAATCCCATACAATCTGTTCCAATGGAGTTGGTCAGGGGCAAAGTTGGGGAATAGCTCCCCAGCTCTGCCTCGAAATAGCGACCTTGGGTTTTTTTACATTTAGCTGAGCAGATAGATGGGAGCTTGGTATAATACTCATCCGAAGGCGGCAGCACCACCACCCTCTGACTCACACATTTAACTTTCCAGTCCAAAACAGGTGTCTTGCATCAAAGGTCCCATTTCTAAGCGTTGAAAGAATGTGAGGGCGAGAACGAAATTGTTGGCCGGTTTCTTCCGAACTGACGTCAGACTTTACAAGAGCCCCGATCAATCTGAGCCAAAAGCTGACCCCCAGGATAACACACCAGGCGGCATCCACGCAGAGAGTGCAAGCTAACACTTCAAATCTAGGTCGAAGTTACCCAAAATCAAATCGTCAGCTTGATCTCTCTCCATGGATGACCATAAGACACAGGAGCAGAAATTAGGCCATTCGGCCCATCAAGTCTGCTCCGCCATTCAATCATGGCTGGTAAGTTCCTCAACCCCATTCTCCTGCTTTCTCCCCGTAACCCTTGATCCCCTTGATAATCAAGACCCTATCTATCTCAGTCTTAAATGTACTCAATGACCTGGCCTCCACAGCCTTCTGTGGCAGTGAATTCCATAGATTCACCACTTTCTGGCTGAAGAAGTTTCCCCTTATCTCCGTTCTAAAAGGTCTTCCCTTTACTCTAATGATGCTGCCTGACCCACTGTGATCTCCAGCATTTGTTGTTTTCAGAACCATGGGTGTTAATTAATATTAGCTTAGAGTACATTAGGGACATTGCTTTCATTGCTGAATCTTATTGATACCCAAACCACGTTCTGCCTGCAATTTGCTCTTGGCCATACATTGGGTTGGTTGAGCTCCAAACTCCCACCATAAACCTTCTCAGGTCTTTGTTCCCTTTAAGAGACTTTATAAAAAAAAAACCCTTTAAACACGTTTTTGGTAACAACCAGTCACCATTCCATTCCAACATCTCTGAATTACACTTGGAAGCGCCTGAGAATGCTTTACAACGTTAAAGGTGCTTTTTAAATGCAGGGTGTTTACTGTAAGGCTAAGCAACTCCCTCACAACTCACCAGCAGTCAGCACCTCCTCAAGGGGCACCGGGGGGAGGCGGGGGGGGGGGGGGGGGGGGGGGGGGTGCGGGCAAATAATGGCCTTGCCATCCCACAAAAGACTGATAAAAGGTTGTCCCACGATCATTCAAAAATAACTGGGTTCCCAATGAAACTCCAAACACAAAAAAAAGCAAATTAATCCGAAAAAAACTGGGCCTCTCCAAGTGGACACAGCCCTTAGTAACCTCAAAACAAAAAGTCCTGGAATTTCTGCAGTTAAATATAGAAATGAACTCGGAAAAGCACAATAGTCCATTCACATCAAGAAAAACAATTTAATCTGCATTTCAGGTATAAACCTTTCATCAGACGTTCAGCTAACAGAAAAAGCCTGATATATGAATTTGAGCTATCTACTGATTTGGACAGGCCTGCAACATACAACCAGCACCTTACAAGGGCAATTAGGGATGGGCAATAAATGCTGGCCACGAACGCATTGTAAAAAAAAAATTATTGTTAATCAGACCAGACAGCAAGAACAAACAACTTGTATTTATGAAGGGGGACAACAAGGTGCAGAGCCGGATGAACATCATAGAAGCATCTTTTATACGAATGAACATTATCAAACACAATTTAAGACTGAACAACATAAAGAGATATTATGACAGCCAGCCAATAGCTTGCTCAATGAGGTACGTTCAAAGGAGGGGTAAACAGCCAGAGACATTAAGAGAGAGATGGTCAGAGTTTGGACAGCTAAAGGTACAGCATCAGTGCCTGAACGACTGAACTGAAGAATCGAGAATTGAAGTTTTGAAATCTGAAGGTTACAGAGCTGGAGCAGTTGCATAGCAAGAGGCAAACCCCACATGGTTGAATTGCAAACCGAGGATATACATTTTAACACAAAAAACTTTGTCAAACAAGGAACCAACGTCGATCGGCAAATGTACGGGGTGATTTTAGCTCCTTCCTTCCTAAAGTGACCCTCCAACACTCTCCTCCACACGGTCCCCTACCCCTGGCAGCTAAACAGACCTGAAGCGTCTGTTCCGTTCTTTAAATGCAAAACTCCCCAGCAGCTGCAGGTGCTTCATTTGATACCCCCTGGAATGTGGACACTGAATTTGGTTTTTCCGGTATCACCCAAGGGCCTCCAAGAGAAGGCTCATTTGCTGTTCAGATTCTAATCTTAACCCTTTGTGGCAAGAGCTGAAAATATCTACCTTGAGCTGTGTGGGGATGATTAAGTGAACTTAAACATAAAAACAAGTTCAGTTCCCACTCTACGTCTATGGTAAGGGCAAATCTTTCTATAAGTGTTTTTGAATCCTGCAGAAGGCTTTATTTTTGCTTTTTCTTTGGGTGCTGGAGTGGCACCAGGTTGGGTAGGACCATGGAGAGTGCCCTCTGCAATATTTGATACCCCCTTTGAATCTCACCTTTGATTTCACCTCCTGCAAGAGGAGGAACTTTTCATAACGCAGAAACTTTGCATGAAATGCACACTTACTTTACACAACATTTGAACATCTTTCCAGGTCAAATCCCTCTCTTAAGTTAATTTTAGATACAATTTTTCCTTTCTGATGCCGGTCCAGCAAAGTGCCTTGGGCTGCTTTACTGCACAAAAGGCGCTACACACATCCAGGTTGTTGTTGTACACCACTGGTTCGGCAGCAAGATTCTTGAATGTTCCATGACCTTTCCAGAGAAGATAATCCAGGCTAGCACTCGGGGTGCAGCTGCTGAGGGAGTGCCACACTGTCAGAGGCGACACCTCTCACAGGAAAGGAGGTCCTCTCTGCCCTCTGAGGTGAATGTAAAATATCCTACTGCACTATTTCAAAACGTTCTGCCTTGTATCCAGGCCCATATTTATCCCCCAACCAAAATCATCGAACCTTAATTACTGGCCGTGACAGCTTCCTGCATTCAAAATGGCCGCCACTGTTCCTATCTGGCAAGAAGTGGCCACACTTCAATTGACCATGAAGCAAAATCCGAAAGTGATGAAGGATGGTGCACGCATGGAAGCGTTCATGGAATCATACAGAAGAGGCCCTTCAGCCCATCAAGTCTGTACGGCCAAAGCAACGCTAAACCCACACCAGTCCCACTTCCCAGCTTTTATATTGGATAACAAACGGTCGGGGCTGTTATCTTCATATTCCTCCTGGTGGCTATCACTGGAGATTTCTAGACTGCTTTCCTGTGGGATTACTGTGAGCCCTGCTTGTCGGGAGTCTTGAGATTCCAGGGAAACCAACATCCAGGACACAAGAATTGCCACACTCAGTGATTCTCATACGGGACAGTGTGCATTGCAGTACCCAAGGAGTGCTGCATTGTCAAGGCTGACCCCTGTTGAGATGAGATTTTAAACCAGGTTCTTGTGGTCTTGGGGGCAATGGGAGTGACATGACCCACTGAATGTCCCACAACAGCTATTCAAAAAATCTAAGGCCATTGTTGCAATGACTCTGCTGCTCACAGCTACCCCATTCTTAGGAGTCCCAGGGCGAATCACAATGTGTGGGGTGTTCACCCACAAACAGAAGGATAGCTCACACAGTGCCATTCTCACGTACTCGGAGGTCATACACAGACACGCACACAGACACTCACATAAACACACACAGTCTCTCACACACACACACATACACACACACACACACAGTCTCACAGTCACAGTCTCACAGTCACAGAATCTCACACACAGTCACACAGTCTCTCACACATGCACTCAGTCTAACACACATACACGCAGTCACAGTCTCTCACACATGCACACAGTCTCACAGTCTAACACACATACACGCAGTCACAGTCTCTCACACACAGTCACACAGTCTCTCACACATGCACACAGTCTCCCAGTCTAACACACATACACGCAGTCACAGTCTCTCACACACATAGACACAGAGACACACGCAGACACAGAGACACACAGACACAGAGACACACAGACACAAGCACACTCTCTCTCTCTCTGGTTTCCAGTTCCTTCCCCAGACCCAGCATGGAAGCCAGAATGGTTACCCCAAATCCTACCATCACAAGACAGCTGTGCTCATCAACACCACCACCCCACCCAGACCCGCCACCCCAAGTCCAGGCTCCCTCAGGCAATGCCACCCCAAGAGAAAAACAGGTCAAAGGGGCCCCTTGTGTTTGTGGGATCTTGCTGTGCGCAGTGTGTCAACTGCATTTGCTCACACAACGAGGAAGCTGTGCCTTTTGGACAAGTAAAAACCTCTCTCCCACACAATCCCAGTGAAATCCAAAACTGAAATCAGCCTGAAAAGCCTACTGATGCAAAACACACACTGACCTCTCCTCCTGCCTTACAGCAGTGTCTGCCTGCCCGCCCACCAGCTCTTCTGACTCTGACTGTGGGTGGTTTCTCAGTCGACGTATGGGGGGGGGGTCCCTTTTTACCCCACTCCTGTCTCCCCACCCGACCTCCCCAAACCTAGCTGAATACTGACACACACTCCCAGCCCCTTCAGTTCTCAAAGAACTCAAATCCCACACCCAACCAGAGCTTCTAAAAGGTGTGTCAAGATTCCCCAGACCCTCCCATTCCCCTAACAGTGATACCTTGATGCACACTGATTAAAAACAAAATAAAAATCACAATCGGCACTAAAATCTCCAATCTGACATGCACAAAAGAAAAGCAGCTTGCAACACTGTGGGAATAACCGGCTGAAAAACTCATTTTCCCCCCTCCCACACCTCTCGACCAGACACTTAATAGTTGTGCAATCGCTAACCCACAAATAGGGGAGAAGCGAAGTGAACTTGTTTTACCTTGAGGATGGCGTTTTGTTTCTCCTGGAAGTTGCTGCAAGCGGAGAACGAGCTAATCGAAGGGAGGACAGCATCTGCTAGAGCCATTGCTGATATCCTGAGCTGCTGAGTCCTGGTTCACCTTCCCAGTGACCAGGAGTAAATAGGGAGGCTCAGTCTCTGTCTCTGTATGTGTGTGTGTAACTGCACTGTTGCACTCCCTCTGCAAAATAAAACTCCTTCACTCTGTTTTTTCCCCCAGCCCCATCCCGTGTGTAAACGGAGGAAGAGCTGCACTTATCCCTCCGATTAATATTCATCCACCTGATTTAAATGCATGTTTAATATTACTGACGCGCAGGGCGGTGCCTGGCCTGACCACTTTTTTTTGGAAAGTTGCATCAACTTTCTAAAGCTGCCAGCTCTTTACAGAGAGCCGAATCCTCCAGCTGGCTTTACTTTAATGGTTTGCAAGGTGCTTGCGTTTTCAAGTCACATTTGGCCGCCTGGCAACACGCTAAAGCGCGACCGTTCGGCCCGTAGGGCTGGTGCTGGCCGTTTGAGAGGCTATTTCCCCATAGCCCTGCATTCTGTACGTTCCTCCCCAGCTCCCGCTGCTTCATTCATGGGACGTGAGTGCCCCTGGTGGGGGCCCAGGTCTCTAAATGGTTATTAGATCCCACCACCTCTTATGGCAGGGTTCAAACCCATTCGCACAGAACATTAGGCTCATGGATATTAGTGTGGTGACATGACCATTACACCCCTGTAAGGCAGTATCTCTGGGCAGTGCAGTGCTCCCTCAGTATAGCACTGAAGCGTTAGCTGGAACAACACAGCGAGCCAGGCAGCATCTGGTTAAAAGGAGCAGTCAATGTTCCAGGATATTACCCTTCTTCAGGAATCCTCCAGCTGGATTTACTTTAATGGTTTACAAGGTGGTTGCATTTTAAAGTAGCATTTTGCCGCCTGGCAGCACACTAAACCACGACCATTCAGCCCATAGGGCTTGTGCTGGCTGTTTGAAAGTGGTCCTGAAGAAGGGTAATACCCTGAAACGTTGACTGCTCCTTTCCTCCAGATGCTGTCTGGCCTGCTGTGTTCTTCCAGCCTCCTGTTTGTCTACCTTGGAATCCAGCATCTGCAGGTTATTTTATCTCTCACTGAAGAGTCAGCCCTGGGTTTAGGGAGCTGGGACCATTGTAAGTCAGAGGTAATAGTGATTGAGCTAAGTCTGATACCCCAAATGCAAGGCAAACACTCAAGACTCTTCAGGGGATTGAACCTGGGACCTCTCACATCCCAGTGTGCTATACGGCTCAATGCGAGAATCACACCCCTGCACCAACTTGACAGTCTCTTACTTATTTTTCCTAATTGGAAATTTTATTACACGCCTCTGGAGCAGGTGGGACTTGAATCTGGACCTTCCTGGTCTAGGGCAGGGACAGTACCACCGTGCCACAAGAGGGCCCTTGCCAGTTCTCTAATTGCCCTGGAGAAGATGTTTTTTAGTTGCCTTGTTGAAGCATTGCAGTCCATGCGGTGTAGATAGATTGTGCAGTTTGGGAGCGAGTGCCAGAATTTTGACCCGGTCACATTGAGCTAAAAGTAGTATCTTTCCAAATGGGAGGCCTTGATGTAATGATAATGTCACTCCACTAATAATCCACAAGCACCAGACTAAAGTTCTGGGGATATGGGTACAATTCCTGCTGTGACTAGTGGTGGAATTTGAGTTTGATGACAATTTAGAACTTTTTTTTTAGAAGAATTATCTAATGCTGACCATGTAACCATTGGCAATTGTTGTAAAAATGCATCTGAGTCACTAATGTCCCTAGGGAAGGAAATCTGCCATCCTTACTCAGTCTGGCCTACATGTGACTCCAGGCTCAAAGCAATATAGTTGCGTCTTAACTGGGCAGTTAGGGATGGGCCTCACCAGTGATGCCCACATCCCATGGAAGAATGAAGAAAAGAGAAGTCAGGGTGGTAAGGGGCTTGGAGGGCACTAGTAGGGGGAATGCCCAGAGTGGTCCCATGTATTTGCTGCCCTTGTCCTGCTTGGTAGGTAGCCACACCTGTAGCCAATTCCTCTTCACCACTGCATTCAACTTGTAGTTTTTCTTAAATTCTCCTCATCTCCCCTCTGGTTTGCCAACAAACTTTTGCCATTTGCCTACAATTCGCACCTTTTGGTTACTGACCACTTCTGTCAGTGGAAAAGATCTTCCCTCATCTCCTGAAACCCCTTTTAATTCTAAATACCCCTACTAACTTGCCCCTTCCAAAGAACATCGATATAGTCAGGTTACTGTAGCTTGAGGACCCTTAGAACCCTCTCAATGATCACAGTTTCAAAATCAGTCCGGTGTCAGGAGTCTATCTGAGGTGCTGAGGGGAAGGTGGTCGAGAGCTTTGAGTTCCTAGGGGTAAATATCACCAACAATCTGCCCTGGTCCACCCACATCGATACTACTGTCAGGAACATCTCTACTTCCTCAGAAGGCTGAGGAAATTTGGAATGTCCACAATGATTCTTACTAGATTTTACAGATGCACCGTTGAAAGCACCCTATCCGCATGCATTACAGCTTGGTATGGCAACTGCTCTGTCCAAGACTGCAGGAATTTACAGAGTTGTGAGCACAGCCCAGTCCATCACAAAAACTAGCCTTCCATCCATTGACTCCATCTATATTTTCCGCTGCCTGGGAAAGCAAGCAACGTAACAAAGACCCCTCCCACTCCGATTACATCTCTTCCACCCTCCTCCATCAAACATACAAAAATTTGAAAACACATACCAACAGATTCAAGAACAGCTTCTTCCCCTCTGTTATCAGACCTACAAACAGACCTCTCATATATTAGAGCTGATCTTTCTCTGCACCTTCTCTGTCGCTGTCACAGCATATTCTGCATTCTGTTCTATTACCCTGATTTACCTATGTAAGGTATGGTTTGTCTGGATAGTACGCAAAACAATACTTTTCACTGTATGTTGGTACATATGACAGTAATAAACCAAATCAAATCTATCTGGCTCAGTCATAGACACTGCTTTTAGAGAAACACTGAGACTTTGATACACGTTTACTGTATGGAGTGGGTGTATTTCTGGGATTGTGAGGTTCCATTCCACAATTTAATCCAGTTGCACTTAGTGTGCAGAGGTCTTGTGATATAGTGGGTAACACAACTGCCTTCTCATTTTTTTTTTAAATATCCTAACTTATTCTTAAGGTTTTCATAGATCATAGAATCCCTACAGTGTTGAAACAGGCCCTTTGGCCCAACAAATCCACACCGACCCTCAGAGCATCCCACCCAGACCCATCCCCCTAATCTACACATCCCTGAACACTATGGGGCAATTTAACACGGCCAACCCACCTAGCCTGCACATTTTTGGACTGTGGGAGGAAATCGGAGCACCCGGAGAAAACCCACGCAGACACGGGGAGAATGTGCAAACTCCACACAGGCAGTCGCCCAAGGGTGGAATCAAACCCGGGTCCCTGGCGCTGTGAGGCAGCAGTGCTAACCACTGAGCCACTGTGCTGCCCCTTATACCTAAGGTGGGCTGTAATTGAAAGACTTTAATGCTGAAATTTATTTCATTATTTTTCCAATTTATTGCTAAGATCCTGTACCTTTTTATCTATTATGGCAAATTTAGGGAGAGAATGAATAGACTGGGGCTATTTTCCCTGGAGCATTAGAGATTTGAGGGGTGACCTTAGAGTTTTATAGAATCATGATAGACATCGATAGAGTGAATAGCCAAGGTCTTTTCCCCCGGGTGGGCTAGTCCAAAACTAGAGGGCATAGGTTTAAGGTGAGAGGGGAAAGATTTAAAAGGGACCTAAGGGGTAGCTTTTTCACACAGCGGATGGTGCATGTATGGAATGAGCTGCCAGAGGAAGTGGTGGAGGCTGGTACAATTACAACATTTAAAAGGCATCTGGATGGGTACATGAATAGGAAGGGTTTGGAGGGATATGGACCAAATGCTGGCAAATGGGGATTAGATTAATTTAGGATATCTGGTTGGCATGGACGAGTTGGACCAAAGGGTCTGTTTCCATGCTGTACAGCTGTATGACTCTATGACTGAGAGCTAGTGTAGGGAAGCAAGCACAGAGCTGATGGTTGAACAAAACCTTTAGGGAGTTAGGACATAGGCAACAGCATTTTGGATGTGATTACAATTAGACAGGGTAGAAGATGGGAGGCCGTGAGGGAGATGATTGGAGTAGTCAGTGATAAAGGCATGAAGGAGAGCTTGAGCTGTAGATGGGCTGAGTCGGGTAATATTACACAGGTAGAAACCTTCAGTCTTGGTGATGGAGTAACTGTGTGGCCAGAAGCTCAGTTTAGGGTCAGACATAACACTAAGACTGCAATCACTTTCACTCCACTTCAGACAGCTGCCAGGGGGCAGACACAATAACCCCAGGGAATGGGGCTGGTCACAAAGACCCCAAAACAATGGTCTGAGTCTTCCCAGTATTTAGGCAGAGAGATTTTGTTTTAGGATGTCAGACAAAGCAATCTGACAAATCCACACACACACACACAAATACACACACGCTCACACACACGCGCGCTCACACACATGCACACACACACACACGCTCACACACTCGCACACACACACGCGCACGCGCGCACACTCACACACACACACGCTCACACACACACATGCGCTCACACACACACACGCTGACACACACACACACGCTCACACACA